AAAAATAAAGGAAAGTGCATAAAAATAAAATTATTGAATGGACTTATACATATGCGTGCATTGAATGGATTGGAAAAAAATGAGTTAAGAACTTGAAACGCTTTGTTATTTTGACTGTTGAATGTACAACAGATCTGATGAACACTATACATAGCGTGTAAAATAAAGTTACACTTATATAAGCCGTTTCTTGGATTCAACTGCAATTTTAACTTCAAAGTTCGGGAACAGAAAGATTCTTGAATTTCTTGACTGAACGTTCTGCCGGACGAATGCACAATTCCTTCCCAAACACTTGAAATTTTACATTATTTACCAAGTGAATACAAAAAACGCTGGATTCTTTGGGTATAGCTGAAATGTGAAAGGTAGTGTTAAAAAAAATCCTTCATTGATTTGGTCATAAAAAACAATTTGTTTACTTCGTATCACATTGTCACTGCTTAAGAGCCTCAAAGTATTTTTCGTATCCTGTATAATAATACCTTGGATGCCAATAGTGCTAGGGCACCTTGAGCGTGTTACAGTAGCAATGGCTCCATGATAATCAGCCTTAATTAATTTTTGATTTATACTGTCCCAGCGTGAATCGATTGGATTAGTAGGTAATTTTCTAAAATTATCCACACCTAGCATTTGTTGCATGTAGCTAAGCCACATGGAATTTAATGGTAACATATCTGTATATTCTAGATCTTTCTTTCCAAATTTATTGAGCCCCAGGAGAATTGATTTTCTTACCGTCAGAAATGGTGTTTTTTGAGGTTTTTTCTTAATAGTTTTTGCTTTGTGTTTGACAAACGTGAAGGACTGAAACAAATGACCACATGTTAAAAGTATTGAAAAAATAATTTTTAAAGTTTTTAATTACTTTTTTGAGCTCATCCTTAATACCACTTATGTCACTGGATGGTAATACATTATTCAAAAAATTCAAGAGATATCGTTCTCTTTGTTCATATATGGTAACCCTGTTTGAGAAAGGTGCTTGTAGAGTTGAACACACATTTTCTGTAAAATCATTTGCAAGTTATTACCTGAGAAACTATCAAGGCAATATAATTAACAGTATATTCATTACTAAATACAAGAGTAAATACTCTGATATAAATCATACATAAATCGGTTCATACACTTTTCATCCAATGTAATTTGTCATTATATACAAAAATATAGCTCCTAAGCATGATAATCGGAAATGATCATTCTTAAATTTAGTTTGGAAAATAATAATACATTGTTTGGACAATAAAAAAAATTTATAAAGTGACTTTCAGTGAAGTATATACTTATGATTCATAATGATTTATCTTCGAATAGAAGCTAATACCTATTTATTAAATCTAACACAGGTAACGTTATATAGGATTAAAAATACTAAATACTTGTGTTAAACGAATAATTAATTGTGTTTATCGAAACAAGAAAAACTTACGTTGTATTGATTTTTCCATTACAAATTATGAAGAGTTTTCCTGCAGTTCAAATGTTCTAAACAATACACAATCGGACGCGGTTAGTTCATAACCTATAACCTTTGAAACATATACGAGGTAAGTGCTGTTCCGCCAAAGTATATACTTATACTTACTATAGGATGTATTTATAGAATAAAAAGAAACCCTTAAAGCTCATGATATTAATACAGAAGACAAATTTGATGCTAAAAAGCCCTTTTAATAAATTTACTCTTAAAAAATCTTAACTTTTGAGATCAGTAAGATGAAATTACAACATAAGCATTTACCTTTTAGTACAAGACTTACCCAACCGAAGTGAATTATATTTTGACAATTGGTAAAACAATCATCAATAAAGAATAAATTTTTTAGTGAAAAAATTCCAGTCGAAATGACGGAAAGCTCGAAAGCTCAGAACCCCGGAAACTGGAAAAATCTAATCTCCATCTCCATTGGAGATTCTCCAAAAAAGAAGCGCATGCGCTGTTTTTCTCTCTGACAGTCTCTGACCTCTCTGTCGTTTTTTGTCGTCTGTCAGTAGGTATATAGGTATATGTCACTCTCCACTCCGATTTTTTATAGAGGCTGTCGTCAACAACAATCGACATATCGACAACTATCTTAAATTTGCAACCTGCTGCTATTAATACCGCTACAAGTGCTTCGCTTTCTCTCTCTCTCTCGATACCTATAAATATGCATTATGCACTTCTGCGTCCTATTTTCCACACACCTGAATCCTTCCTCTGATCTTCCCTGCAACTAACCGTGGATGTCTCTCACAAGAGCATCGCCCTCAAAAAACCACATCATCAGTCCAAAGATAGCGAAACAATAGTAACAGCAATTGTATCGCCACCGTCGTCATCGTATTTTTTTAATGGAACAACGTGATCATCATCGGAGCAGCAGATGACGAAGTGGAGAAGCAAAGGCAACAGCATCAGGAGTACAAGACTGCATGGCAGAAGAAGCTGCAACAACTTTGTAGCCGTTAAAACGCGGACTTGCCCTCGTCGTCGTGGTTGCTGCAACCCCCGTTCTTTCCTCAAATAGGGGTTAAAATAATTGAGCTATAGACGACGTCTTTGTGCGTTGTTGTTTTTTGTGCGGTGGTGTGCTTTTTTTTTATTGTTATTGGGAGAAGAAATAAAAATAACACCCCAGTGTTTGTGCTAACGCAGTCGTTACTTATTTAGTGCATGTATAGTACTAACAATCAAAAAATAGGTTTACACCTATAAAATTTACAATAATGCCGAGGGAAACAAACATGGCGTCGAATCTCGAGGAACAACAGTGCCTGCGCGAGTGCACCGAGTACATGCAACGCTCGAAAATCGTGCCGGTCATGAAAGACTGCTTTGTGCAGCTGTGCGTCGATCAACCCGAGAATCCGGTCACCTTTTTGCGCGAGTACTTTCAGAAGCTCGAGAGGGTAAGTTTGCACGATTGCTCGGCTTTGACTCTGCGTTTTGAATTTTTTTTTCTTCCCCTCCCCCTTTGTGTTTGTTTTTTTTTTGTTTTTTTGTTTTTTTGTTTTTAGAAACAGTTTGTCAAGTCTCTCACAGCTCACGTTGAAAAAATTTCGTTTCTTATGGCTTTCAAGCTCATCACATAAGCATGTAAAACAATGAAAAAAAAAATTGGCCAAAATATGGCCATCGCTGCCCTTAAGAAAAGCGCATATGTAAACCCAAGAGCATATCTTTATAAACTTACGAAATTGGCCCTTCCCAGAGAATTCGATTTGGCACGAATAATTTTTTAATCACCTTTTCGTATACATCTCATAAAACGTACGGAGATCCCATGAAGTTTGAGAGTCCGAAGCTTGAGAATTTTCACGACGAGTTAAAATCTAGTCACGAATGATCTTAAAACTCACCTCCCCGTTTCAGCCGATTCTTCTATTTTTACTGTTATTCCTCAATCATCCGGAATGCGATCGACTAAGTAGCATATAGGTTTATTAGTTCAGTTGCGAAGTCAAAGAGGATTGCAGGTCAAAAATAAAAGCTATGGTCTATGTTATTTATTGAAACACGTGTGCTTTTTGGGTCGAGCCGTGCATATGTATTATAATAAAATCTTTAAATCGCTTCGTTTTTGTAAATAATAAACGACTATGCCCAACGTTTTGTTAAAAAATATCGTTTGAGCCCACGTACTTGAACTCTTTGAATACGATGTTCGGAGTAGAGATTAAATATCATAGACTTAAGAAAGTTATTAAAATCTATTTTTAAAGACCAACTTTATTACGAACCGCCTCACAAGCGAATCAACCGTACTCTTACGTATACTGTAACTATTTTATGAAAATTCCTGGAAGTTCCACAGTTATTTTTTCAAAGGCTAAACACGGAAGCGTCCCCCTTTTTACCAATTTTTTTATGAAAAAAAAAAAAAAAAAAAAAAAACTTCTACATCCATGCGTTATCTTACCTCTGCCTAATAAATTGATATACCTAAGTGGAAATGGGGGCTAATTGGTACATAATCAGGAGAAAAAAAAAAAAATAAATAATATGTATACATTAACTAACTAATCGTGACGTAAAGCTCAGCGCGTTTTCTCCGTGACGTTGTATGCTGACAAACTCAGCTGTACTTGAGTGTAATTGTGTGACGTTGGTGGCCGATTATCCATCTACATGCACCTGAAACGTATGTAACCAATTCGCGAGAGGAGGCCCATTCATCACTTGCTCCATTTTCCGGTTGCGTGTGCAACCATTATCTTACTTTTGTACGTTATATCGTCGTTCACTGCAGAATACTTATACCCGTCCTTTCATTCTGATTTCTTGGAATCGAGGCTTTTTTTTTTTAATAATTTTGGAGTATGTATCGTAACATGTCAAGGGAATTCATTCGATACTTTGTATTACGTGCTTTTTATTGTTTATAACGTAAATCAAGTAAATAAAAGAGTATCGATTAACGATATTGTATTCAACTTTTGCGTAATTACGGTGTCAATGAGTTCACAAAATCACATCTCAAAGTTAACCGTCGTTAGGGTATAATGTAATGAACAAACTTTTGTCACTCATAGAATTTTCGAGAGGATGACCCCAAAAAGGACTTAATAAAGTTTGGAAGTGATAAATTCACAATTATTAATTCGTTTCATTTTCTTTCGAGCCCGTCGTGTGTTAATTGTCAGGCAATTTTCTGATTAGTTCTGACTATCGTTTATTGCGTAGGTGTATAGGTAACTTTGAGCTTTACAAAACTGTAATGATTGTTTATAGTCTTTGAAGTAAAGAAAATCTTGCAACAATTAGTTACAGGTGAAGTATGTGTCAAATAGCTTTCGCAAACGACATTTTACCACACTATTCCGCATACTTTTAGCAAATTGCTTTGTTTTATTATTTGAACGCCAAATAACATTTTTTGTTCTTCATTCAGCATCCAGACGTAAATAAATATCACAGGCAGCTGGTACTTTTGTTCACAATACGTTGCTGTAATGAAAATTAAAAATAAACGTACAAAATTTAATTGGGAAAAAAAGTTGTCTTTGTGCACTGGTGGTGCAACCAACATTTCGCATTCGCAATTAGCCTAGAAAAAAAGAGGGTCGGTCTACATTTTCAGTCCAAAAATCAAGAAAGCCAGAGTGTGCCCTACTCTTTTCCTGTCTCCTTCGCCAACGTGACCTACGGGTAATTGGATACCCTGTAGTATATGTAGCTTGGAAACCAACATGTTTTGTGCTCCCTGCTGGATATCTTTTCATCCTGATGGGCTACTTAGTTTCCAGAACTTGCCTTGACAGTCACTGACGATTGTCTGTCAGCTGCTATATTACCACTACTGCTGTTATTGTTCTGTAAAAACAGTTTGCAACGTAAGTAGGTAGTTATGGGAAACCAATTTTCGTGTAATCGGTGTAATGATAACATATCCATCAGACTGAGACAAAAATATACATCGGATGTTTGTTGGGTGGTAGTAGTTCGATTTTGTGGTACGGTATAATTTGTCATTTCATTGGGGATTGAGTAAATGTTGTACAAGTTTCGCTCTCACCATACGTTTTTTTAATTTATTTAATTATTTTTTTAAATTAATGTATGAGAAAAATCGTGAAAATAATCACCATAAAATAACATTATCACGTGACAATGCTATCAGGATAAAGTTCCCTTGGTCGAATCATCGACTCGTTATTAAAACAGTTTCACGGTAACCAAATTTCTTTCTCCGACGTTCCCATAACGCCTGCAAACTATCACTGAGCACGCGATGAGCGAAATTGCGCGTACACCTACGCCTACAGTTGAACAACAGCTAATATGATAAGGAAACGAGGGGCAGCAACATGAGTAAGGTCACTGTGTAGGCTCTGCTGAACAACAGAGTATAGCTGTAGCTATATATACACTTGAAGGTGCTGCGAATGCCGGATTATGACGCAGGATATATTCAGTCGTATAATCGACTCACTTGGAACTTCTGTATTTTTGTAGGTGTAGGTATACGTAATTAAGTATCGTAGTTTTCATTTGAAGCAAAGAAAGGACAAGTTTCTTAGTTTTCAAGGGCAGTTGTTAACTTTACAGATGGTTGGCACTGGAATACGGCGTCTTCGTTGGTAGAAACGAGTCGTTGCTATTTACAAAATTCAATCGGGTTAACTCAATCGGGATTTCAATTAAAATTCTAATCTAAACGCGGGATTAAATCACTAACAAATTAAACCCCACCAACGATTACTTGTGCATTAAATTTAACGGGGGTTGACAAGTTCTACAATACTTTTATGACGATAAGGTGTTTTGATGGTTGCGTAATTTGTAGCGAATATGAAAAGATTAATAAAAATGAAAGAGAAGTACTCAACATTTGTGACAAATTTTTTTTTTTTTTTTTTTTTTTTTTAAGGAGCGAGGAGGAGAAAATCTTCATAGACACCCCGGCTATTCCGGCGGTAGTGTCGGATTCACCCGGTGTGCCTACCGACTAAAAACTAACCTCCCCGCATGGGACAGGTCCGTTAGGACTACTCCCATAGAAGACAAAAGGGCATAAGAAAAGAGAGAAAAGGAAAATAACGGAGAATTTCGAGGAGGGGCACTTACGCATCTGGGCGAAGCTCGAATCTTGGCTTGCGCCGGAATAAGTAGAGTTAGAGAAGTTTAAATTTGTGTTATTGTATGTGTGTGTGTGTAGATGTGTGAGTCCGCTGGGTATTGTGTGATTGGAAGCGTACTTGTGGTTTGTGTATGTGTTGTATAGAGTTGAGGCCGTAGAGGATACGGCGGACAGTTTGGGTGCTCCTGAGGGGAGCGTACGAATTGAAGTCGCGGTTGTTCGGCGAGATTATGGAGATGGAGATGATGCATCCGATGGAAGCAGGGGGGATTGAAGACCTAGAGTATATTGAGGGTCCTCGGGGTTCTGTGCCAGCGCGCAGGGACGTCTTATAAGGTCGAAGCGACCGGGTTGAAGGTTCGTAAGTGCAGCGATGGTGGAGTTTGGGTGTTCCGTAATGGAGGCGCGGAATTTTGACGCAAGGACGGGGGCTACTTGTATTGAAGGGACGATGTTGAACTCCTTGATAACTTCAGGATCGACTTCAGTATCTTCATGAAAGGGTCCTGGATGCCCTGTAGTCAGATTAATATGTCTCGCTCGAAGGGTTACGTTGAGTACTGCATTTTGTTTTTTTATTTTTATTTTTTTATCTTGCCCAGTTCCTCTTTGACGTAATGGAAATCGTCAAACGTGTTTTGCGCTGAAAGGTTTTCTTGGTACATCATTGCTTGTTATATGTAGGCAAGCTCAAAGGTGCAGTTACACAATAAATTATTTATTACGCTTAGCGTCGTATTACCCGTTTTTTTCATATTCAAACCATACATTATTGAAGCTCGCAAGCTTTTTGAAATCGTTTGCTACATATTTTTATAAGCTTTTGCTGCGTGTGTGCTGTTTGTAAATGATAGATCGAACGCATGAAAAGCAATAATAAACAAAAATTGCTTGACATCACTACGAGCTCAACGTTTAAAAAGCACCAGCAGTCCGAAGTAAAACGGACGGTGAAGGCAAAAAAAATGTGTGGCACGATTGAAAATTCTCTTACAGTAATTTGCGAGGCAACGTTGTGGAACATAATTTTTTTTTTTTTTTTTTCTTCATGCCATGCTTATTCTTGTGTTTGCGTTTTGCGCGCTAATCGTGAGTCTATCGTGACTCACGGCAGCAGGAGATACGGAGCGCGAGCAAAAGGTGAGAGCTATAGTGTGTGCGGAAGAGGGTCGTCGAAACAATAAAAAGGATCGTAGGAGGCCCAGGATATAATTCCCCGATGGTCACACACACTTTCCTGATAATGATTGCTTGCCTAGCACGATAGATCTAACACTAATTAAAACCGAAAATTTTTCATATGATATAGAAGTCCTTAACGAACTTAACTCTAATCATCTACCGGTGCTGGTCAATATAAATTTCAAAGTCAAATATAGTAAAACAAAATCGAGTTATCTAAATTATAAAAAAGCTGATTGGCGAAAATTTCGTGAATTATTAAGTAATAGCATTAACTTAAATTGTAAACCAGCGAGCATAGAGGATATCGATATGTGCGTCAAAAAGCTAACAGATGACGTCAAGTGGGCCATGGAGAAGTCGATACCCAGAAATTATGAAAATTTTAATGTAAATAACATAGATCCAGAAACGAAAAATCTAATTAAACAAAGAAATAGTTTAAGAAAACAATTCAATAAGGCCAAAAACTTAGACGAAAAAAAACAAATTAAATATTCTAGAAATCAACTTGCAAAGCTTATTACTGAAAAAATTAAAAATAGAAATAATAAAAACTGGGATAATAAACTAACAACACTCAAAGTCCAAGACAACACACTATGGAAAATGACAAAATATTTTACAAAAAAAAGAGATTCAAAAATTCCACCACTTCATGGCCCACAAGGACTAGTCTTCAGCTCCCAAGGGAAAGCGGATGTACTCGCGCGGCAATTCGAAAGGGTACATCACCTAACCGATCATTTCGGCACAGAAAACTTCGATGATTTTGTCAAAAATAACGTAACCAACATTGTAAATAGCGACGTAGATACCGACACCATAGAGCTTGTCTCCTACGGTGAAATAATTAAAGCTATCAAAAATACAAGACCAAAAAAGGCCCCAGGAGAGGACGGGATCCAAAATATAATATTAAAAAACTTTCCTCGCAAAGCAATCGTGTGTCTAATATATATTTTTAATAGCTGTCTTAAACATTCATATTTTCCGAAAGCGTGGAAAAATGCTAACATATTGGCCTTTCCTAAACCTGGAAAAGAAAAAAATTTTCCCCAAAATTACAGGCCTATTAGCCTCCTGTGCACTCACAGCAAAATCTTTGAAACAATAATACTAAATAGAATTCGTAGCTTTGAAGCAAAAAATAAAAACATAATAAAAGAACAATTTGGATTCAAACACCATCATAGTACAATACAACAACTCGCTAGAATTACAAATGAAATCTCAACAAATTATAATCTAAACAGATCAACTGCCATGCTCCTTTTAGATATCGAAAAAGCTTTTGACACCGTGTGGCATGAAGGTTTGATATTCAAACTTAACAAGGTCGGCATACCATTATATATAATTAAAGTTCTTTATTCGTATCTTAAAAATCGCACTTTTACAGTCTCAGTCAAAAATCATAATTCTAGTTTACAAAACATACATGCTGGAGTCCCACAGGGGTCTATCCTAGGACCAATACTCTTTTTATATTACATTAATAACATACCGAAGCATACAAATACAAGCCTAGCATTATTTGCAGATGATACAGCGATCCTGGCCTCCTCCTGGTCAAAAAAGAAAGCAATTGAATATATACAAAGGCATATAACCATTATGCGTAAATACTTCGAAAAATGGAAAATAAAAATTAACGATAAAAAAACCGAACTAATTATATTCAGCAAACGCAAAGATAAGCCATGCGATAAAAATGCTTACATAGACATGAATGGAACTAAAATCAAACCTACCACGCAAGTGAAATACCTAGGAGTAACACTAGACAAGGGTCTTACATTTACAAAACATATCCAAAATATCCGAAAAAAAGGACAAGCAGCATCAGCGCTCTTACACAACCTACTTAATAGGAAAAGCAAAATGTCAATTAAAAATAAGTTATTAATTTACAAAGTGATTATACGACCTGTGCTATTGTACGCCTCACCGGTGTGGAGCAATACTTGTGAAAGCAACTATTATAAACTAGAAATAATCCAAAACAAAATACTAAGGAAAATAATTAATGCCGAACCCAGAACTAGCAATAAAAAAATTAGGAATCAACTCAGAATAAAGACAATCAAAGAAATAGTACTTGATCACACCAATAAATTTTACAAATATCAGTTGCACAAGGCAGACGCCCTCGCAGACTTTAAATTTTATAACAAAGAAAATGCACCATTTAAAATTAAACACAAACTACCCTACCATTTGCTGCGCAGTGACCATCAGGAGCAGCAATACGCTAGTCAGTAAGTTCTCTTGTTACCTAGTTTTAAGCTCTAGTAAGTAAGGCCAAACAAAATTAATGTGTTTTTTACCAAATCCTTTTTCACAAAACCCACAAACCATAATAAGTAACATTCATATATCGTTCATAATT